GTACAATACAATACAGTACAGTACAATATAGTACAGTACATTACATTACAGTACATTACAGTACAGTACTTTCAGTACAGTACAGTACAATACAGTACCGTACAGTACAATACAGTACAGTACAGTATAATACAGTCCAGTACAATACAGTACAGTACAATACAGTACAGTACAGTACAATATAGTACAGTACATTACATTACAGTACATTACAGTACAGTACTTTCAGTACAGTACAGTACAATACAATAGAGTACAGTACAATACAGTACAGTCCAGTACAATACAGCACAGTACAGTACAGTACAGTAAAGCACAGTACAGTACAGTGCAATACAGTACAGCACAATACATTTCAGTACAATACAATACAGTACAATGCAGTACAATACAGTGCATTACAGTACAGTACTTACAGTACAGTACAATACAGTTCAGTACAATAAAATACAGTACAGTAAAGTACATTACAGTAAAGTACAATACGGTACAATACAGTACAGTACAATACAGTACAGTACAATACAGTGCAGTGCAGTGCAGTAAAGTACAGTACAGTACTTACTGTGTATCTATATTGTTCTTAGCTTTGATATAAACTGTTTCAATTTCAATTTGGTTAAAAGTAGTGAACTAGTTATGTGGCACAATAATAATTATCATAAAAAGTATGTTTCTGGTGCAATGATCCGACACAAGGGGTCATTAAGGATAGGTATTGTAATACTATGAGGACATGCTAGATTGAAGATTAAAGGGAGATGCCTCACCTCAGGCCACAGAGATATGGAAGGACAGAGCGAGAATAACCAGGAGAGAACGTAGGTTAGAAGCGATGCCCTTTGACCCCAGCTTAGTGATGCCCAGGTGGGAGTGCCCGTGACCTCCGTGATTAGTTTGGCTAATCTGGACCATCTCAGGGACCACAGTACTTCCCCTGGCAGCTCCCTGGGGCGTGGTCGGCGTCAACTGTCGGGGGAGAGTGAGAGAGTGAGCACCATCCAGCCAACATCATCGCGAGCTATCAGGATTGACAGTGATAAAAACTACCTGGCGTGTTGACAGTGAAAAGCGATTAAGTTTATAGTTTGTCACCAGAAAAAATTAAGTGGCAACAACCAATAGCACCTGTACGAGCGATGAAGACCAGTGCCTCACCTCCGTCTTCCTGCAGGATGTTCTCACCTGGGTGCTACTGACGATGGACTCCTTGACGGCCGGGTTCCAGGTGGTGGCGTCCAAGTCTCCAGCGAACACAGGGTTGTCCACACCAGTCTCGGCCCATCTACACTTGGGGGTGAGATCACTAGCGTCATCTCCTGGGGCAGTGACCGAATATACTGAACACCTCGTCAGTTCCTGGGTATAGATAAGAGGTGTGAGGTGAGGTGTAGAGGAGGGAGGTGAGAGGTGTGAGGTGAGGTGTAGAGGAGGTAAGGCAGGTTATGAGAGGTGTGAGGTGAGCTGAGGTGTAGAGGAGGGAGAGTAGGTTATGAGAGGTGTGAGGAGAGGTGTAGAGGAGGGAGGTGAGGTGTAGAGGAGGGTGGGCAGGTTATGAGAGGTGTGGGGTGGAGCTGGGTGGGGGAGGGAGAGTGGGTTATGAGGAGGTGTGAGGGGAGGTGTGGGGAGGGAGGTGAGGGGCGGGGTGGGGGTGTGGGAGAGGGAGGTGGGGAGGTTAGGATGGGGTGCTTGAGGAGGGCAAGGGCTGGGTTATGAGGGTGTGGGGTGAGCTGAGGTGTGGGAGGGAGAGTAGGTTGAGGGTGTGGGGAGGTGAGAGGTGTGAGGTGAGGTGAGGTGTAGAGGAGGGAGGTGAGAGGTGTGAGGTGAGGTGTAGAGGAGGGGGGGGGTAGGTAGTGTTAAGTGTGTATACCTGATAATTATTGGTCACCTGAAGATTAGATCACCCAAAGTTTATCTCACCTGATGATGAAACACCCTGATGCTAACTAGGGGGTTACTGTTGGGTTAGGTTAGGTTAGGTTAGGTTAGTGTTATGTTAGGTTAGGTTAAATTATGTAAGTTTATGGTAGCGTTAGGTTACGTTACGTTAGGTTAATGTTAGAGTAGTTAATCATTAGGTGGTCCTTGAAGAGTGAGGGTGAAGAGAGAAGAGGAAGGAGAGGAGACTATTTGAGGGAGATGAAGGAAGGGAGGGAGATGGATGATGGAGGAGAAAAGAGGTGGAGTGACTGAAAGGAGTAGTGGCGGTGTTCCTGGAATATCTAAGTCTCTAACTATCTCTTTATCTATAAGTTAAGCCTCTTCGTCTCTCCTACCATTCCCTTCATCCTCATATAAATCGAATCTCAGAGGGGAGGAAATGACCCAAACACGATATACGATACAAGCGAGAACACTGTACAACACAACAACAAACCTGCTTGTCCACGGGCGCCTCTTCCAGCTTGCTTGGGACATCCTTGTGGATGAGGTGGCCGTTGGTGTGGTGTGCGTGATGGTGGTGGTGGTTGTGGCTGCCGTGGTGGTGGTGGTGATGGTGATGGTGGTGATTGTGGGGCTGGTGGGAGGAGTTGTTGCTCTCCTCTTCGATGGCGGCGGCGAGTTTGGTCAGCTTGCGGCTTTTGCGTGTGTCTTGTCTGAAGAAAATCTATATAAAAGAGAGAGATTATTTGGTTAGTTTACCTTGAATTGAATCAGTTAATTAATCCAGTAATATAGAAATAAAAACATATCTGAACCTTAAGAAACTTGCAACGGTTTCAAAAAAGAACCTGACAAACCGATTTAGCTTAAGAAAATGATGAAATAACCTGAGATAAAGTTCTTATAATATCCGAGCAGGATAGGACTCGGAGCAACGGATTCAAGTTGGACAAGTTTAGGTTTAGGAGGGAGATAGGAAGAAACTGGTTCACAAATTGGGTGGTGGACGAGTGGAACAAGCTTAGTAACTTAGTAGTAAGTGCGGGAACTCTGGAAAGTTTCAAAAGGAGGCTAGATAGATTCATGGATGATAGAGAGTGGTAGTAACTCTCGACAGGAGCTGCCATGCACAGGCCAACCGGCCTATTGCAGACTCCTTATTTTCTTATGTTCTTATCTAGTGTATACCAAAGTTAATTGTAAAATAGGACTTTGCACAATTATGTTCTCTTATATGAGTATTTAAACGTATAGATACACATATATTGACGAAGAGGAGAAGAATATAAAATAAACACAGGATTAAGACACAGTGATAAAGGATAAAATAGTTACACATTGATAAAGGTGTTTAAAGAAATAGAAAAAATGGCTTACTGTGTTGACGTGAGGCGACGGTGACAGACTTATGACGCCATACTAATACTTATACTCAAACGCGATCCGAATTTTGTCATAATGGCGAAATAATAACGAGACTAGGTTAGGGTAAGTTAAATTAGGGTAAGCAAGGTAAAACAAGGTTAGCTTAGGTTAGTTTAGGTTATATATTGGGTTAAATTAGATTAGGTAAGGTTAGATAAGGGTTAGGTTAAGTTAGGATCTGTGTGGCTGATAGCCAACACCTTAAAATCATCTACAAATAAAATGTATTTCGTGTTACAGTCAGGCTCGTCCTTTAGGGGGGGCGAACAGGGGCGACCGCCCGGGGCCCCGCGCGTGTGGGGGCCCCGCGGGGCCCAGCACTAGACCCAGTGACCCCGGACACATTACCTATTGACTGGTTAATCTGACCTGACGGCTTTCGCCACCATCGCAACCGTGACCTTACCATCCATAGCGACAGTCCCATGGGGGTTACATAAGAACATAAGAAAATAAGGAGTCTGCAATAGGCCGGTTGGCCTGTGCATGGCAGCTCCTGTCGAGAGTTACTACCACTCTCTATCATTCATGAATCTATCCAGCCTCCTTTTGAAACTTTCCAGCGTTCCAGCACTTACTACAAAGTTGCTAAGCTTGTTCCACTCGTCCACCACCCGATTTGGGGTGGGTTCCTCTGACCGCATAATCTGGGGCCCCGCAGTGGCTGAGTTGCCCATGGCCCCGCACCCTCCTAGGGACGGCCCTGGTTACAGTGAACTATATCGGTTACATACAAGAGGAAGAAGAAGGGTCAAAGAAGCATCCCTGCGGAACTCCATACAAAAATTGGCAAGGGATCAAGTTCACGGTCGTAGAACAGGTCCTACTTCCTGTTAGACCGGTAAGATACGAACCATTCTGATTTATTCTCTGAATTGAAGAGACAGAGAGAGAGAGGTGCAAAGCAATATCGTTAAGAGGAGAGAGACAACTTCAGAAAACATCGACAACACCAATAACAAAAACAATAACAATCACCATAAAACAAATACCTACAACAAAAACAACATTAATTTTCCATTGTTTACATATTTCTTCACAACAAACTTTCTGAAGAAGGCAAAGAAACATTTTGAGGTTCTTGGCTCACCTGTCAGGAGAGTCGTGTTACCTGTGGCAGACCAGCCTACCTCTTGATGGTGTTATGAATGTGATTCCTTCCCCCACACTCCCTTACTCCTCCCTCACACTCCCTTACTCCTCCCTCACACTCCCTTACTCCTCCCT